AAGCCACTCCGCTCCTCTCTGTACCATCTCCTCTGGCTCCCGAACTCCTAGCCGTCCCAATGCCCAAAGACTTCAAGGTACCTCCCCTGGACAAGTATGATGGATCATTCAACCCGAATGATCACGTAGATGCCTTTCAATTGCAGATGCACTTAGTCGGGGCAAATGAGTCCTGCATGTGTGTAGCCTTCTCCACCACATTCAAGGGAGTAGCTCGCAGGTGGTACAGGAACCTCGTGCCTAAAACAATCAAGAGTTGGGCACAATTCGTGCAGGTTTTCACCTCCCACTTTGTCTCTAGTAAGAAATGCCCAAGGACCCAAGAAAGCCTCATCGGCATAGTCCAGAGGGAAGGGAAGTCTATCCATAGCTACATCAAGAGATTCAATGATGCATGCTTGCAGATACCCAACCTTGACCCTGCGGTGAGGCTCACAACAGCTAAGAGAGGCATAACGCACAAGGAATTCAAGTGGCACATGGTTGTCAATAGACCTAAGGATGTAACTGAATTCCTCAAGCTCGCGGACCAGTTCATTAGAATGGAGGAGGAGATGAACCAGAAGAGTGAGAACCCACCTGAGAAGAGGAAAAGAGAAGGTGAGTCCTCGATCCATGGGGACAACAAGAAGAAGAAAGAACCAGCTCGGGGAGGAAGGCCAGATCAGTCTTTCCGAGCTCCTCCAACTGAAAGGCCGAACTACATGCCATTGAACGCGAAGTGAGCTGAGATCCTCATGGCGATCAAGGACGCGCCGTATGTGAAGTGGCCACCCCGACTGAGAGGAGATCCGAATGTTAGAAATAAAAACTTGTATTGTCATTTCCATAGAGATCACGATCATAGTACTGAAAGTTGTAAAAACCTCCGCGATGAGATAGAAGAACTCATCCATCGCGGATATTTAAGAAATTTTGTACAAAATGATAATAAAACAGGGCGGTAGGCGGAGCAAGGTAGATATGCTCCCGAGTCCAGCAACAGGCAAGGTGACCAACTGTAGAGGCAGCCACCCGAAGAAAGGCTAGTTTGGGGAACGATCCAAATGATCACCGACGGATCAATCATCGCGGGCTGCACCTCGGCCGCAGGAAGGACCTCGGCTCGTGAGATCGAAAGAGAAGAGCGGAATCCCTCGAAGCGGCCAAAGACAGAGGAACCAATCTTCTTCACCGAGGATGACGCGCGCGGAGTCCAGTATCCCCACGATGACACGCTCGTTGTGAAGATAAGATTCAATGATTTCGAGGTGAAGCGTGTCCTCGTTGACTCCGGCAGTTCGGTAGACATACTCTTCAAACCAGCTTTCGCCAAGCTTCAACTTCATGAGAGCGATCTCAAGCCCGCGAACACTCCCTTGGTGGGCTTCAGGGGAGAGGAAGTCAGGCCCCCGGGGAGAGTCCTCGTATTAGTGGAGGGCGGCACCTGGCCTTGCATAGTGAGGCTCGAGCACAACTTTTTGGTGGTCGCGACTCCCTCCCCGTACAATGCCATAATAGGTCGGCCCATCACCCATGCTTTGCGTGCGGTGGTTTCCACCGTATTATCTGGCCATGAAGTTCTCCACGGACTTCGGAGTTGGGGTAGTGCGAGGCGATTAGCTCGAGTCCCGCAAGTGCTATGTTGCCGCCCTCAAAGGAAAAACCAAGGTGGCAGATGATCTCGAGCTGGAGCGACCTGTGGGGCACTATGAAGAGCGAGCTGCACCTATAGAAGAGACGACTTCCGTGCTTGCTTCAACAGAGGACCCAGCTCGGACCCTCCAGATCGGTGCTTTAATCGAGGAGAGATGCCCGGCATAGACCCCAAAGTCATCACTCACAAACTGAACATTGATCTTGTAGTTAGGCCCGTTAGACAGAAGAAACGCAACCTAGCCCCGGAGCGTTGGAGGGCAGTTGACGAGGAGGTCGGGAAGCTCCTCGCAGCCAATTTTATTAGGGAAGTCCATTACCCGAGTTGGGTAGCCAACCCCGTTCTGGTAAAAAAGGTTAATGGTAAATGGTGCATGTGCGTCGATTATACCGACCTGAACCGAGCTTGCCCGAAGGACTGTTTTCCACTCCCCAAGATCGATTGTTTGGTGGACGCGACCTCAGGGCATGAGTTGCTGAGCTTCTTGAACGCCTATTCGGGCTACAACCAGATCAGAATAGACCCTGCTAACGAAGAAAAAACGACCTTCATAACCGAGCTTGGCCTGTATTGCTACAAGGTCATGCCCTTCGGACTGAAAAATGCCGGGGCAACATTTTAGATACTTGTAAACCGACTGTTTGAGCCGTTGATCGGCAAAAAAGTAGAGTGTTATGTAGACGACATGGTCGTCAAAATCCAATTTTCAAATGATTTAATAAAAGATTTGCATTCTGTTTTTGAAATTTTGCGCAAGTTTAATATGAAATTAAACCCGAACAAGTGCTTTTTCGGTGTCACCTCGGGTAAATTCTTAGGTTACATCGTTAACCGGCGTGGCATTAAGGCTAACCCTGACAAAGTTAAGGCCATCTTAGATATGATACCACCCCGAAAATTGAAGGAGGTTCAGAGGTTGAACGGTCGCATAGCCGCTTTGAGCCGCTTCATGTCCAAATTGGCAGATCGCTGCCTGCCTTTCTTTAAGGCAATTAAAAGAAGCAAGGGCTTCGAATGGACCGAAGAGTGCCAGCTCACTTTTGACGAGCTCAAAAGGTACATCGCTAGCGTCTCTGTGTTGACCCGACCCGAGGAGGGAGACATTTTGGAGCTGTACCTATCCACGAGTGACGAGGTAATCAGCTCGGTACTGACAAAAGTACTAGATCGGGTCCAACGACCCATCTACTATTTTAGCAAAGTGTTGTAGGAAGCAAAGATGAGGTATCCTGAGATCGAAAAGTTGGTGTACGCGCTAGTTGTTGCAGCTCAAAAACTGAGACCGTACTTCAAAGCTCATAAAATCGTCGTCCTCACCAATAAGCCTCTGAGGCAAGTCTTGCTCAAGCCCGAGGTCTCCGGTAGATTGACCAAGTGGACCATCGAACTCAGCGAGTACGACATCCAGTACAAGCTGCAAATTTCCATTAAGGCCCAAGCCTTAGCTGACTTTGTCGCGGAATGCACTTTCAGCATCGAGGTCTCTGAGTTAGTTGAGCCCGAGCACAGCAAGGAAGCTCCAACCAACGCGACTTCTCTCCTGGTTAGACCGAAACCGACTTGGGATGAGGAGCCTTGGATCCTCCATGTGGATGGCTCGTCAAATCAGCAGGGTAACGGGGCTGGAACCATTCTGTATGGGCCAAGCGGTGTGAAATTGGAGTATGCGCTACGCTTCGAGTTCGCTGCGTCCAACAATGAAGCGGAGTATGAGGCGCTGATAGCCGGGTTGGCCTTAGCAAGCGAAGTGAAAGCTAAGCATATCGTTATCTATAGTGACTCACAGTTCATAGTCAAACAAGTCACTGGCGAATACGAAGCTCGCGAGTCAACCATGGTCGCCTACTTAGCCAAAGTCAGAGAGACCCTGCTCAACTTCCAGTCCTACTTCATTAAGCAGATCCCGAGATCCGAGAACGCTGAGGCCGATGCTCTATCCCGATTAGCCAGCACAAGTGACAACATCATGAGAACCGTGTACATAGAGAACTTGCCTCGGCCTAGCATTCTCAGGGGGGCAGAGGAGGTCGCTCCTGTCGTACAAGCAAAGCCGAGCTGGATTGATCCACTCGCGAGCTTCCTGCTACACAGGACCCTCCCTGCAGATCGTAATGTTGCCAGAAGGGTAGAGTGCCAGGCAGCCAAATACGTCATAATAGATGAACGACTGTACCGAAAATCTTACACGTTCTCTTATTTGCTACTTACAACCCTCTGAAACCGAGCTCGTGCTCACGACACTCATGAGGGCTTGTGCGGCGGACTGTTTATTCATTCATCATGGACAAGTTGTGTCAGGTTATATTTGTAAGGAAATTTTCTTCTTCGTTTCTCCAACTCAGGTAAGTCATTGTGGGGACCTGTTTATCTTCACATGCCTTAGTTGTTCTGTCGATAGTTGTTCTTGTATCATTGCCAGGTGACCAAAGACAGCTCCCAGTCCTCTTAAAAGGCCTCGATGGTGTTGTGCTTCTAAAATCTACCATTGCAGCAGATATATAATATATGTTACATTCAACTTCCACTTAGAAAAATGGAGATAATTGATAGCACAAAACTAGGTCTGGCTGCAATTGAAGAGACTTGGTTTCTCAAACAAAAGCAATGAACTGTTGAGATTAGATGAAGAATGCAATGCCATTCACCCAAAAATGATATTAGAAGAAATAGATGAACTGTTTGAGATGGTTTCTCAAACATTAAAATAAAATGATATTTCCCGAATAGGTAGAGGGAGACTGGGGCGGAGCCCTGTTTTGCCATCTAAAATGCGATTTTCGAACAGAGAGTTTACCTGAAACGAAGGTTTGTGTTATGGTACATGAACTGAGTTGTTACTACCTGTTCAATGTAAAACATTAAAAGATCTTCGTCATTCAAGGATAGGTTGAAAGGGACAATGGGGCGGAGCCCCTGTTTTGGTATCCAAATTTAAGACCTCAAACCTGAATGCAGTCTTTGTGTATTTCTATTACCAAAAGAAATTTTAATATACTTCTATGTACAGGTGTCCTTCCAGTCATATCTATACTGTTGCAGTCAGATGAACATAAAGCATCAGACGATCAGATACAAACAAACGGATGAACATAGCATATCTGTGCCCAATCACATATTCACATGGTGAGGACCGAGGACCGAGGACCGGACGGATGGTATAATGAATTTACCAAAGTGTAAGGGGTTTACTGTAAAAAGAAAAAATAGGGATGATATACGGGGCTAATGGTCAAACTTCCAAAATATAGAGGGCCCTTTACCCAGAATGGAAAGAGAGGTAGAGTGGGGCCTCTGACCAACTGAAAAGCATAGAAGGCTGCGTAAACACTCCATCGAACTCTAGGGAAAACCCTTTTATTTACGGTTTCTAGCTGGTGCCGACAAGGACAGCATCTGAGAGACTGAGACAAACTTAAATCTAAGGGGTTTTCATTACTAAATCTAAAGAGTTCTAAATTACTCAATTGGGTTGGGACAATCGATTCGATCTAAAGTCTAGTAAATTAAGCTTTTCCTAATCCTAATACAGAAAACAGATCTATCCGTCTATCCATCTGTCCATATTCAACTCCACTGAATTTCTTCCTCTTTATCTCCTGGGCTGCCTTCGTCACACTCTGGTTTAAGTTGTTCCGATCTGCAAGGCCGTTTTCGTCATCTGGGTCTGTTGTGATCGTTGTATTTAATCATGAGGAAGAGGGAGAGAGAGAACCCATGCGGGGTTTGTGGGCATTATCACAAGTACGAAGAAGGGGAAGTTTGTGGGGTTTGTGGCCATCGGATTCCCGCTTCATCTGAAAAATTGGGCATTCAAACAAGTGCTTTTCCATCGGAGGTCTTGCCTGAGTTTCTTTACTTGGGCAGCTACGATAACGCGTCTCGAGCCGAGCTTCTCAAGACTCAGGGGATCTCTCGCATTCTCAATGTTAGTCTCTCTCTTTCTCTCTCTCTCTCCCCTCTCCCCCTATTGATTTCGAGCATTCGTAGCTAGTACATGTGATCGAGTCTACGTTTTTTCATGTCCTTTAGATGATTACAAGTGTAACGGTTACTGAACGTTGCTTATCACTATTTTTCTTTTCATTTCATAGCACAAGATTTGTTTCAGACAGAAAATAATTGCTTGAATCACACGAAGCAGTGCAGCAAAGTATACACGCACATATGTTCGTATATCATGTATTTAATGGGGCTTGCAATTTCATTGAACTTGAGGTTTTGGCTGCTAGTATTTTTGTTTTTATTTTTAGAGGTCTCAAGGCTTTAACTTTGTTCAATTAGGTGCCTCTACTTGTTTGTCGTGATTAGCATGAAGTTTAAAATTTGACATGATATTTAGATTCTAAATGAGAATTTTGTCAGTAAAGTCACGTAACGCAATGATATTAAATATACCACTACTGTTAAAGAAAACGGGCTTTAATTTGGTGAAATATGTACACTGGTTCATTATATCTGTTAGAGTGTTTTCCCTTGTAAGTTGACAAGGGTTTTCTGGGGTATGCAGGGTGATTCCGTAGAAGGTTTACGAGTGATAACATTAATTGGAGGAAGATTTTTGGGTCTAGCCATCTAGGTAGAAGAAGTAGGCTCAGGGGTTGCGTGTATAGGTTGCTACCAACAACATCTACTTTTTGAATTGATAAAAAAAAAGAAAAAAAAATCTGCTTTTTGAAACAGGGGAAACTCAATGTTGGATTTGAAAGGTATTGTGGAGTATTTTGGAGGTATTCATGTCTGAAGGCTGGCAGATATTAAAATGGTAGAGAAAGAAGTGGGAAGTTATGGTTGAATGTTTGAGCATGAGATTGACCACCTCCCTTGGGAATATGGTGTAACTCTGTTTGGAGCAAACTCAGATTAACATGAGTCTTGGGTACTGGTTGTTGAGACATTTGAGAAGAAACACTCAACATAGAAATGCAATTATTTTCCCTAGGGGCAAGACCACCTTAATCAAATCTACCATTACAAGCCTTCTTTGTATGGCTTACTTGCCATTATCTCCTTCACCATTTCCTCCCAATCATTGTCAAAGTTGATTTGTTTTGCATCCTTAAATTCTTTTGACACTATTTCCAAATCTATGATCAAGCCTTATCCCAACTATATTGGGTTGGGTTGGATAATATCCCAACTATATGATTGATGAACTAATATCCCAAAAAATCCTAGAAAAAGAAAAATTTGAGAGTTTAATATGGACTTGCACGGGAGGGAATCATTTTGGGGAAGATTAGGAATGGGAGAAATTCATGAATCTTTAGCAATAAGGAGCAAGAGGCCATTTATTCTCATCGATCTAGTAACAGTGAGACTTGCTTGTTAGACCTCCACTAGAGAAGAATTTAAGGGAGTTTCTATTGGTTCTATTCTTAGAGGTTGCAGATGGTTTCTGGGTCTGTACCATAGGGAAAGAAAATTCAAGGATAGATGGCCCTGGAAGAAGGTAAATAAAGCTAAATTCTTGATGGCTGCACTCTAGGTAATCCTCGTCCATGGTTGTCAAGGCATAAAAGTGGAGGCTAGGCATTTGAAACCTTAAAGGGGAGATTTTGGTATTCTTAGGACCTACAATTAGTGGTGGCAATTTTCAACCCAATCTGCCTAATCCACCCATGTATTTGTGGGTTGGGTTGGATGTTTTAAACGTCGGTTACTAATGGATCATCGTCCCAGTGGATTAGAAGCATAATGGGTTGGGAGGTTTGGGTCATGGGGTTGGCTAACCATTTAAAATATTGAGGTACTCAGGAGGTTGATGCGGTAGCCATTTAGAATGGAAATGCATATGGACAGAACTACTTCAGATCATCATATGGTATTTTATCCTTAAAGACATCCGTTTCCAGTGTGCTCCATTTGCCATATCATATCCTAAGCCAATTGGATGTGGATCCCTCGTAGAAGTTCACCATGGTGTAACTTGTAAATAACAAATTTTAATGGGTTGGATATGGATTGTGTTCCACCCATTTAGTTTTTATTTAAATGGGTCATTGATGGGTTGGTGGTTGGATGGATTGGTTGAAACTCAATCCAAACCAAACCCGCTCAATTGCTAATTCAGATTAGCTGAATGTGATGGCTGTTGGCTGGCTGTGGAACCAATGATAATATTCCACACCAATAATAAGTTCATGGGCCCCACTCTGAGAGGTGCTGGTCCCATGTATTTTATTACTGACTTGGGAAATTATCATTGGTTCCACAGCTCACTGAACAGCGATTGTGTTCAGCTAATCCTTCTTTCTCAATTGCCACCCCTACATATGGTAGATGGGAACATTACCCATACTGAACAGTTGTAATGCACTCTCCAAGGCTTAAGATTATGCTGCTGTCTGAGTCCCACAAGATTGGAGGTGGAAGATGACTCACAGGTGGTGGTGCAGTGATGCTTGGAAGGGGATAAGTACAATTGGGGCTCTAGCACTCAATTAGAGAGGCAATATTTCTGGCCAACAGACTGAGCACTTTTTTCAAACTGGTTAGAAGATCAGCCAACACTAACAGATCAACCAACTAGAGAAGGGGTAAATCAGGTGGGTTTATATTGGGGGCCTGCACTTCCTGGACAGGCAGTGGGGATCGGGGAAATGTGTTTCTATGTGGTAGTGAGCCAGGTGGCTTTGTTGTATAAATGATGGGGTATCAACTCTTTTCATCTGTACATTTTTCTTTTTCTTAATTTTGATAGAAATTCCAGAGATCTGCTAATGATAAAAAATGTTTAAGCATCAGCATGATATCTGATATTGGAGAAATGAGGTTTAGGGTGTTTGATTTCTCGTGGGCAACAGAGTAGTGATGGATGATGTATGTTAGGATGAGCAACATTGTGGGTTTAGCTACTGAAAAAACTTAGGATTGATGGTCAGGGGCTTCAAGAAGTAAGGTCAAGGGCATAAAGTCCCTGGTTCCCCCTGGTTTCCCATTCCCAAGGCATTTGGTAAGGGAAAAAAGGTTTTCGCAACCAACATGAACTACTTGTTCCAATGGACCCCAGATCTGCCAACAGCATTGTGGATTCTTTAGCAAGGGCAGATGTAAATAGAGGAACTTTCTCTATAATCTGTATAGTACTATGATGAATTGGTTTGCAGGGTACCAGGCCTGAGATTGTATCTATAATCTGTATAGTACTATGATGCAAGTGTATATCATCCATTGGCTGTTTTTTACTAGTCTTTCAGTCTAATTTTTTGGTATGGAGGAACTTTCTCTCTTTTCCTCGATAAAATTTCATGACTACTGTTTTTGATTAAAAAGGTTTGAGCTTATGGAGGATGACTTTTGAGCCTTTAATAAGTTTAACTAAGATGAGGTTAATGTGGAGGATATTTTCTTTTTCCATTTTGATATGGCTGATTGTTTTCTCTGGTATTGTGTTTATGCTGCAAGTTTTTCTTCCCAATTGTTTTTTGATGTTTTTGGGCTTTTGGAAGTGGGAGATTTTTTATTAAACAAAAGAAGTATTAGTTTCAATTCTTTCCTTCAGAGAAATGAGAAATCTGCAATTGTTTGTTTGATAATTCAAACTTGTGCTGTATTAAAGGCTTCTGAAAACTAAGTTGGTCTGTATTTTGTTTATGAGATTAAGATCATTAATTGTGATTACTTATGTATGCAATGATTGTTTATTTTAAGGAAGTGACTATGAGAGGAAAAAGAAAAACCTGAAGAGTAAGAGAAAAAACATGGGTGGTTAGTAACTTTGCTTTTCTTGAAACTACTGGAATATGATGATATTCTCTTTCCACTTGGTGAGTTGTATAAGCTCTTGTAGTTTGGTGAAAGTCTGATCATTGTAGTGGGCATTTACCTGTTATTCCAACTTAAGCATTTCTTGTTGTAGGTAGTAATCATGGTGCAATATCATTATATGATGAAGAATATTTAGATGTTACTTCTATATTTTCCTGTTAATTCTTGGTGAGTGGGTTTTCTAGTTGGATTATTCAGTGAAGATGTCTAAATAACACAAGAATCTTCCACATGGAAAAATGGTTGGTGACCCAAAAGCAACCCACAAGTTTCTCTTGGCACTCTTCATGGAGCTACAATATTCCTTGCCAATTGTTGAGAATAAACCCTTTTCTGTAGGCAATCCTCAAATTTAAGAGTTTAAACTTTGACAGATAATATATCTTGGGGAAAACATCAATACAGGGTGAGTTGTAGGGCTCATGTGCACTGGGGGATTGAACATGTGGCCAACCAGGTCATATAGTGGATGTCTTGGATTGGTCATATAGAGTGGGTTGTTTAGGGAGAACCGTAATCGACCCAAATAAGAAACTTTTCTTCTAGTTTATAATGTAGAACTATTTAGTCAAGTTCACATCTTAATTCAATCAAGTTTACATCTTGATTTGAGAATATGGATTCATCCCTTAGTGCAAGGGGAGTTCCTTTTTGTACAATTCACTGATAAAAAAAAGGGGAGTTCCTTTTTGTCCCATTTTACTTTAATGTCTAGCTATTTGTTTCTTACTTTCTTATGTTACTTGCACACTTAAAATGGGTGCAATGTCCATACTGGACCTCATAGTTTCTTATGTTACTTGCACTAACTGTGTCTTCTGTAATGAGGAAGTGGAATCTTTTGATCACTTATTTTTGCATTATTGTTTGGCTGTGGTCCAAAGTTTTAGACATTTTTGGGCTACAGTTTTGTTTTCAAAATCTGTTCCGGAGCTTTTAACCAGTTGACAATTAAAGAGCCTGTGGAAAAATGGAAAAACAGTTTGAAAAGTGATTCCTCTGGCAAGTTTTTGGACTGTGTGGATGGAAAGAAGCAGCAGAATTTTTGAAGCTTTGGAAAAATCAGAAGATATAATTGTAGAGGTGGAGATAGTGTATTCACAGTTATTGATAAAAAAATGATAGTGTATTCACAGTTTCTTGCTGTGTAGTGTGGTGGTGTTTTTTATCTTTAATACAATGCATTACCTTTTCTCAAAAAAAAAGCAGCATATCTTTCCCATTCTATGTCCATGCTATTTATGTGTAATATACTTTCTTACATTGTATGTTGTCATGCTTTCCAGTATTTAATGTATTCTACCATTTTACGAAAGATATGCTTATGTCTTTTTGGTAAAACTAGAGACCCTAACATGGTCTGTTTTGTTTATTATTTATTTATTTTATCTTCATTGGTGAGTAGTGAAGAAATTATATTCAACCTTCCTTACACACTCTTATCTATCATGCAGACTGTACCTGCTTGCCAAAATCTCTACAAGAATTCTTTCACATATTACTGCCTCCAAGATGAGAAAAGTCTACCCTTTGATGATGCAATCCAATTTTTAGGTATGTTTCTCCATATACCTTCCATTTGTAAAATATACCTGCTGTAACCTGTGAGCCATTGTATGAAGCTTTCCTTTCTGGACAAATACCTTAGAAACAACAGGTTTTAAGATAAGTAGGACTAAAACAGAATATATGCTATACTGATAATAATAGGAGTGAAAATTAGGGTATACTTAGGATTGGAGACCAAGAGGTAACTTAATGTGACCTATTCTGTTACCTTGATTCAATAATTCATAACAAGGGAGAGGTTGAGGAGGATGTCACCCATAGAGTTAGGGTAGGGTAGGCAAAATAGAGGGATGCATTTGGAGTCTTATGCAAGAGGCAAATACCACTTGGGTAAACAGGAAAATTCTATAAAACAGTTGTAAGGCCAGCAATGTTGCATGGATAATGGAGAGAGTGTTGGGGAGCCAAAAAACAGCATGTCTAAAAAATGAATGTGGGAGAAGTGCGCATTGTGAGATGGATGAGTAGAAAAACTAGAAAAAATAGGGGTAGAAATGAAGTCATTTGAAGGAAACTAAGAATAGCTCAACTAGGTGACAAAATGAGAGAATGTAGACTAATATGGTTTTATCACATGCATAGAAGACTATCTACAACACCTGTGGTGAGATGGATGAGTGGAAAAACTAGAAAAAATAGGGGTAGAAATGAAGTCATTTGAAGGAACCTAATATTAGCTCCACTAGGTGATAAAATGAGAGAGTATAGACTAATATGGTTTTATCACATGCATAGATGGCCATCTACAACACCTGTAAGAAGAAGCGATCTGGCACAAGTTGAAGGGGCTAGAAGTGTTCATAATTTATTAGTGGATATATGACACTAAACAGAACAGAATGGTGAAACAAGATTCATTTAGCTGACCCCGTATAGTTGGGTCAGGGCTTAGATGATAGTGATGATGATCTATGAATTACTTGTTTTGTTAGTATTGCTAAAACTTTAGCTCATAATTTATTTCTTTGTCATTTGGTCTATTTGATACTTGAATATGCTTATTCAAATTAGGGCAAATTTCTTAAACTACCCCTACTGTTTAGCTAATTGACTGACTATACCCCTACTGTTAAACTATTGTCTTGTACCACCCCTACTGTTTCTGATGACATCTTCCATAAATGTTAACAGAAAAAATCGAAATGTCAAATTTGCCCTCCATTATTATTTAAATTTTCAAAATAAAACCCAAATTTCAGGAAGATTAACAGATGGTCTCTCTCTCAACTGATTACTGGTGGACATGCCGCTTGTGAAAGTGGGTAAATCTCTCATATGCGAAAAATGGTGCCAAGGGCGGGACTTAGCTCTAGTCCCTCTCTCTCTCTCTCTCTCTCTCTCTCAATTTTCTCTTATTTTTTGCTTTCTTTCTTCTCACAGAGTCACAGTTTTCATCCTCCTGTAACCGACTTCGGCCGGCCCTGTTCAGCTTCTTCAAACTCACTACACCAAATAGAGTGCTACCGGCGAACGTTGCTTTGCTATCCCATTTCTCTCTCTTCCCTTCTTCCCTCTTCTGACACAAGTAGGAATAACTAGAAGCAACAGAGGAGTGAATTAGATCAAGACGGAGGGAGTAGTTAGTTACCGGGTCTCACCTCTGTGAGACTGTGATTCTGACTTCTCTCTGAGATAGTGGAAGGGTCGAAAACATAATGAAAAGGAACGAAATCGAGAGGGAAGGAGAAGGGAAAACGGTGGGGAGAAAAGGACCGGCATTTGCAGCTGGGAAGAATTTTAAGATAGGGTTGCGCAATTGAGAGCAGCTTCTGTAGCAATGGTCTCCGATGGCCGGTAGCAGGGAAACATCTACGGCTGAGAACAAAAGACCACCCACTATACCTTTGTAGAAATTCCTTGTAGTGGACTGGGTTTCGCCAAAACTGAACCTGACCAACATCTTGGCCACTGGAGAGATGCTCCTCTCCAAAAATTCAATTCTTCATTTTAAATCTCTTATGCCAGCTGTTGTTAAGTCAGCATCCAAATTCACCATAAGAACAGTGGCGGTAGAAGCAGAAGAATCGAAGCACAATGCATCAAACTCCACCTGTGAACCAAAGCTGAACCTGAAAAAAGATTGAACTGATTGTGGGTCTGCACCAGTGAACTTAGGACCACCCCCACCAAACTCTGTGAGCAACCACGTCTTATTGTGTTGTGTTCATCACCGTCTTCATTATTTTTCTGTCCTTGCTGCTGGTCATTTCTTCGACCATGTCGCTCCATTAGCAGCCCAAACCCAGCTCCCAAAACATGTTTCTTCTGTAATCAGTTTACCACCAACAAGAAGGAAGACAAAGCTGAGCTCTTAGACACAGGAAACCTTGAAACGATATGACTCTTCTATTGGATTGTGCCCTAGCTGGCTAGGTTTGGCGCTGCTGAAAGGAAGAAACGGCGAAGGAGGAGGAGGAGGAGGAGACGAAGAAGGGAGAGGGAAGGGATGAAGGGTAAAATTGGGTTTTTAAAAAAAATTAGTGCCATGTGTGTATGGGTTTTGGCGGAACATTAACGGATGCTAACGGCAAGGGTAGAGCTAATCAATTGTTAGAAACAGTAGGGGTGGTGCAAGGCAATAGTTAAACAGTAAGGTTATAGTTAGTTAATTAGATAAACAGTAGGGTAGTTTAAGAAATTTGCCCTTCAAATTATCTATCCTTGGGTGCACGCAATCTATTTGTCCCCTACCCTCTCCCCATCCAAAGGAAAAATAAAACAGGGGTCATGCATTGTTTATACTCTTGCCATGAAATTTTCTAATATTTCTAACACTTTCCCATTAAGGGGCTCTAAAATATTTATTAAAGTGATTCCCAACACTATCTAAGCTACAAATTAGCCAAAATTTAGCTGAAACGCCTAATATATCTTCACACTTAAAAAAGGTCGTGGGGTTTGTCTGCTTTGTCCATGTTATGAGCCCTTCTAGGTCAAAATTTGACCACAAGTCTATCAAGTGTGTCTTCTTGGGATATTCTTCGGTTCAAAAGGGGTACCATTGCTATGATCCTTGTTCTGGCAAGAGATGTGTCCAAAGATGTCACCTTCTTTAAGTCTGCTCCTTTCTTCTCCTCCTTTTATCCTTTTCTTCAAGGGGAGAATGTCAATGAAGATCAAACTCCTTTCTGTATGCCTATTCTTGTGTCGGCTACAACTGATACTGCTGGGCCCTCCTCTTCTTCTCCTCCTACTTGTGGTGGTAGTAGTGCTCATCCTGTGCCTCCTCCTTTGCCGCCTCCTATTCCTTGGTCTTGGCACCAATGGTTCATCAGATGGAAAAAGAGGATAACTCTAGATATTGAATGTTCATTACAATTTGACTTCTCGGACTAAAGTAATTTGGAACTTGAACCTCTTTTTATTTTTGATTATTGTGTTGTATTTGTTACTGAGCTTCCTAATGTAAGTTTTGACCTTGACCTTTCTATTGCAGATTGTAAAGAAAAAAGGACATGTGCTAAATATCCTAACTCAAATTATGTTATATCACCCTCTTATTGTGCCTATATTTCTTCCATTTCTTTAGTTTCTATCCCTCACTATGTTATTGAGGCATTGCAGCTTCTTCATTGGAAGATGCTCTGAATTAGGAAATAGAGGCCCTTTAAAAAACCAAACATGGGAAATTATTTCTCTCCCAAAAGGTAAAGTTCCTGTTAAATGTAAGTGGGCATATACTATGAAGCATAAAGCTGATGGTTCAATTGAAAGGTATAAAGCTCGCCTTGTAGTGAAAGGGTACACTTAGTTTTATGGTGTTGTTTATTAGAAAACAGTTGAAAATTGCACCTACAATAATTCAGATAATGCAAGAAAAGAAGAAAAGAGAGAAAGAGAAAGAAGAAGAAAGAAGTTTCAGCAATATATTGTGGTAGAAGAAAAGAAGGGAAGAGAGAAAAGAAGAATTTGAACCTCTCTCTAGCTTCCTTTCATCACTTTTATTAATAATTCTAAATCTGAGTACAATTACTCGGATGCCCTTAATGGGGCGGCCAACGCTAAAGAAATTATTAAAGAAAATAAAAGAAGGCCCATAAGGCCCATAACTAAGAAACCTAACTTTTAAATACTACTTAAAAGAAATAAAGAAGACTAAGGCCCATTCTCACTACATTCCTCTCAAGTTGAGCATAGATGTCAATCATGCCTAGCTTGCTTACATAATGTTGAAGCTTTGCCTTTGGGACTCCCTTAGAAAATTTGCTAGCTGCTCTTGTGATGCAATGAAAGGTAGGCACACATTTCCTGAAGCCACTCTTGCCCGTATAAAGTGTTTGTTTACCTCAATGTGCTTAGTTCTATCATGCTGAACTAGGTTGTGAGCAATGTTAATAGCAGGTTAGTTATCACAATACAACATCAGTGGCTCGTCACAAGAAACACCCATCTCATTAAGGAGAGATCTAAGCCATAACACCCTAATGTGGATCTCCATAGCATAATATCCTAATGTAGATCTCTTGTCATCCACATTTCCTATCGAATCAACATTTGTATATGCTTCTACCTTCATGTTTCTATGTTTAGCAAATAAATAATATACCCTTCCCGAGGGTTCCCTTAAGGTAGCATAACACCCTTTTTGCAGCAACCACAGTGTTTTAAAAGCGCAAGGCGTAAAATAGGCACAAGGGCCATTTAGTGCTTGAGGCGCAAGGCGAGGTGTAAAAAAAAGCTAAAAATTCAAAAAAAATAAATAAAAAAAAGAAAAATTAAAAAATGCAAAAAATTAAAAAAAATATAAAACATATATTAATAAAATATAAACTTAAGTTTTAAAATAAATGTTTTAAAAAACCTATTATCTAGAATTAAAATACATAAACATAATATGTAAAGCATATCAAATGAGAATTTAAAAATGAAATCGAACATATAAAACATTTTCAAGCATATAAAACCCACAATCTCTTTTTTTCTCAATTGCATCAAGTAGCTAATATGACATATTACATTCCTAATTTTACGAGCCGCCTTTGTGC